ACTTCGGATGAGATTGCAGGCTCACGCGACGCGAACGAGACTGCCGTCTCACGTTCCGGTCGCCGAGTACGATTACCCGTACGTTTCCGCGAATAGTCGCACAGTCAACAACCGATACGGTGTAGGATTATTCCTATACTACACGTATGCTACACTCTTTTTTTGATTTTCTTTTTGTTTCCTGAGCCCACGCCTTCGACCATCTACGTTGGTTCCGTCGACTTCAGTCAACTTTGGCGAAAGCTGGATTGGCCACCCACGCTCTTGTCAACGTACTCAGTCGATATATTGGTTTCGAATGCTTGGCATATGCTTGGTCTCGAACTTGGTCGTTATGGTCGATTCTGGTCTTTTGGCTCAACGTGGTTTCGTCCTACGTCTGCAGCGTTTCTGGTGCGCACCTCTACGAACGCCCTCTTCAGATTCTGGATACAAACCACTCTGGTGTAGCATGCCAACTCAAGCAATAAATACAACACATCGCTCCTGGTACCGTTCTCCGATAACGACCTTCGTTGGCAACTCGACGATCAACGATCGCTTTCCTGTTCGCCAATTCTTCCGTCCTACAATCGCTCATCAGCCGATCAGTCCCACGATTCAAACCGCTATTTATCGAAAGTGTAAACCCTTTCTAGCGGGGGGCTCCTGTAGTGACTCACGTTTATCACGAGAACACGACTGGTTTAATAAAAACAATTATTATTATAACCAACTGTACCAGTGTTTGTTTTAACGTGCTTTTGTTTGACTGTGCTAATGACAGCTATTTTGTGCTCCCATTCTTTCGCTTACACTTCGATTGTAACTTCGCGCGAATTCGGTTACCTTTTGTAACCAAGGTTGTATCCTGGCACGATCTCGGTATCCTTTCGATGCCACGAGATCGCCAGCTAATAAACCTCGACTTGGTCCATTAACTGTCTTCTGGTATTTGGCTTCTCGGGGATTTTATGGATCTATTTGGTTACGTCCAACCCTCGCCTTCTGATTTATCTGGCACGTGTTTTCTGGTAGCGGTGTTCACAGTTAACCTCAACTCGACGCCACGCTACAACTGTTTTTATGTGATTGTATGTGTGTGTTGCTTACCCTGTTCATAGTATATCTTCAACTTATTTTTGTCTGACCATAAATATTCAGTCATGCTCACTCTCCCTTTCTTTTTCCTTTCCTGCTTTTCCTTCTGAATGTCTATCTGGAGAACCAAATGCTTGAAATAAATTTATCCAACACAACCCGTATCTGGATTCTTGTTACCACCGTCACACAATCGGGGTTAGACCTAGGTGATATGCATAGTTCAGTCGAAGATTTATGGTCATAGCATATTCATACGTTCACTTGAATTGAAGTCAGATTAAAAGGCCACAAAAATACTGTAGAATATTTATTGAAGTAGTTTCGGTGATTAAGAACCTTCCATGTGTGAAATATTAAGTGGTGAAAAATTCCCATCATATTAAAACACAAATATATCAACGAAGAATATTTTTCAATGATTTATATTAAGGTTCTAATTTATATATCTAATTTAGCAATCCAAAAAAACAGGCCAGCTTCAAGACAAAGTGCATCACTTAAACTTATAGCATATATGAATTAAGGGTTGTTTGTAATGTAAAAAGACTTTCAGTCTTGCGCTTGAACGCTTAATCTTTAGACCACTGAACCAGTATCAAACGGTGTTAATGTCTAACTTTAACCAATCCACGATATTGCGCGACCATCTTCTATTGTCTTCGGTGGGACGACATGAACTGGGAGGAAGGAACGAGAATAGTGACAAATCTTCAAACTTATATGTATTCAATAAAATGGTTATAGACGGCATAATATTCCACCACAAACGCATGCACAAAACTACTCGGGTTTCACCGGATCACACTAAAGTGAATCAAATCAGCATCAGTAAAAATTCAGAAGGTCAGTAGAAGATGTGAGAACCAGGAGCGGAGCAACCGCAAACAGCTGGAAAGGATTGTCCAGGACGGAGTTCGATGCAGAATGCTGATGGGGGGCCTATGCTCCTTCACGAGGGGTCACAGACGTAGGTAAGTAATGAATGTAATTACCGTGTGTTTTTATACCATAGGGTTTGTACAGAATTTTTGATTGTTTTTTCATGAATTATCGAATTGCTTGATGCTTAACTTACAGAGTTGCTCTCTTAGTTTGATAAATAAATATTTTTGAACCTTGTAGAAGCTTGTCCTACTTGACCTGACTTGGATTCTGATCATACTATTTCTTTGAAAGCTTAATGTCATTCGTTTAGGCATTCTGTCTGATTCGGATCTACAATATTTACTCAACCATATTGTTCTAATTGTATCTATGTGAAAGAACGAGTGTCTGACGCTTAACTATAGGAAACACATGATGCATACTATAGCAGCATAGATAGACTAATTGACTTGACTCTGAATACCTACCGTTGGCGGCTGCTTCTGTTATGTTCTCTACTCGATTAACGCAGAATAAGGTATACAACTGCGGTACTCAGACGTATAGAACCCCACTGTCGCAAAACCAGAAGACAAAAGAAAGATGGAGAAGTGTTTGTCAGGTAAGAATCAAAATCTACAGGAAACCATGGCTATTTATGAATATTAGTATTTGTTATATCAACATTATAATTCAGCCAATCCGCACAGAGGCAAGTTATACCGCTGTCCAATTGTAACGTGACACGTTGATATTCTAGAAAGCTCCATTAGGTCCTGATTGGTTGGAAACTCTTTGGCTCCTTTAGGACCTCTGAAGGCTTCATTGTAGTCCTCGGAAGCAATCGGAACAGCTCCATAACACTTAATGTCTTAAAGTCTGCACACTGATATTTATAGTCGAGCGAAAATAAGTTACAGATATGTGATTAGTAGAATAAGAAATTAACACAAATATGCTTACATAAAAGCAGCCAAGGTTGATGAGCAAATAATCGACAAAGTCAAAATGCAGCTTGAGATGAATGAGTAGACTGATCCGTCCAGAGGCTGGAATAACGTATGTGGGCTTGACACGGTACCAGCCCCAGCAAATTGAACTGGCCGTCGTTTCACTTTTCTCTTGTCCCTTCCTCTCCCAGATTCTTTCATGCACTGCTTCCCGAGCTTCTCCAGCTCACAAAATACTTTGAAGCTAGAAGCAAACCTAGCAAAGACTGAAGGTTACATACTTAGTGCAAATGTGTCCAGAAACTTATCATTCAGGAAACATTTATCCAAACAGTCCACGTTAAGGAGCAAAATGGGTATTTACTCTTTATTCACGTTTTGTCTCCCTTTGTTCCTCTCAAGTTCGCTCTTATATCTCTCCTCTTATTTGCTTCGGACATAGACGATAATCGTTCAGTAATGCTAAGCATGACTGTTATGCGTTCCTGATTCACCTCCGTATGTTCTTGGATAGATATATCCAGCTCGCGCGATGACTTGTTTTAATAAACGTCAACTCCTGGATGGGTAATTTCCGTGTGTTGCTCTCATTGCTCGTTATCAACCCACCCATTATTTCATCAACTGCTGCTTAGACATTAGCTTGTTTTGACTGGTACGGTTGGTGAATTACTGTAAACTGTTTGTGTTCCTGCTGAAGTAACATCTAGGCTAGTTAAACTTATATTTGTCACGATATCAAGTACAATCATATCTATACTCCCTACCCCAAGTAGCGAGTAGTTGCGTTGTTATTAAGCCCAACCACAGAACCGCTTGGCAGACTGCAGGGATGGCTCCCTGTGAACTCAAAGAAGCTAGATAAAGTTTCACTGTACAAGGAGTCTGATTATTATGAAACGATGCTAATTCTGAGAGTAAAAACCTAGAAGTTTAAGTTTTGTTTTCTCAAAGTTTCGCTCTCGAGGCCTAAAAATTGGAAAGCGATATATTTGTGTTGATTACTTGAAATTTATGGGTAAATTTTGGTACATGAATTTGACTTTGGTTCCATTGTTATCTGGGGTCGTCAATTACGAGTTGATAGACCGACCGTACTTCATTAACAGATGAGAGCAAAACGTGGGTGTAGCTGTTTACGTCGAAGTCATAACACATGATTATCATCTGATGACGATTACCTTTCCATAGAATCCAGGTACTATGGTTAGATTGTAGGCTTTACAACACAAACAACGTTATTACGAAAATATATTATTAAGGGTAAGTAAAAAGAGCAGAGTTTGATTAATGCCACTTGGGCCAGTTGGTGGCGTAAATTTGTTGATGAGCATTGGTTGACGCTGAACTTGACAAGGATCGGTGAACTGTTTGATATTTAGTGACTCGAATGTCAGATGATTTGGTTAAGGCCGTGACATTTCACTTGCTGTACAATCTGTTAATCAGTTCTTAATGCACAATTATGAAGCCTGACTTGTAACGGTAAGTAAATCCTCAAAATAAATATTCCTATAAGTTTACGACACTGATGATGACCTAATTCGTTTTACCGAACACATTGTATCTGAAGGCGTCCGGCCACGCACATGTAGCAGATTACAAGTGGGTACTCTGTGTTACACATATCCCGCAACAACTGGCCAGGATAGGTTACACACTTCCGACTAATCAACTTCATTTCAAACATATTTTTGAACCCCCTCATTTCTAACTCCTGGTTTGACTGGATTTAGTTCATTTGATCACAGAAGTGATACTGACAACAGCGTTGACAGCTCCGAAATACACATAACATCTTTAAACATGTAGTGAATAGTGTCAGGCTATTTGCTGAGGCATCCTAAGACTCGTAATGATTGTGAAATATCTTAAATATTTGCCTTCATCCGACGTAGGCAGAGTGTAAAGGAAGTTGCATGTTGAGAAACATAACTTTCATTATCTTTCCTTTCTTAACTAATCACTATAAATACCCAGTTGAGAATAAAAGTTTAGATTCATGTTTTTACCACATGTTCAAATCATAGAAAGAATGATGCCAATGAAGAAGATAACATCTGGCGAACAAAATGAGATAGAAAATATTTGTTTTATTGGCCTACTTTACATGCTCACAATTCAGTTTGTGTAGGTCATTCTGCGTACAGTTTGGGATGTCTGACGTACCTAGGATTGATATCACGCTTCATGGGCAGGATCATTTATTGACTTTCTGGAATGAGCTCAATGCTAAGGAGCAATCTGAAATCCTCAATGATATTTCGAAGATAAATTTCTCTGCTCTCGGCCGAATTTTTGATGTAAGACTTTTGTAGTTGTATCAACAATTCGAAAATGTGAATGAGTCGTTATTTTACAACCAAAAGATTGTATCTTATCAGCGTCTTCATCAAACAGGACTATGTGATCAGCTTATTCTAAGTCAGTAAGCGGATACACTGAGTAGGAGATCAATCCCCGAAAATTCGGTCGACGAGAAGGTTATTTCTTTTTTCTAGGATGACTTACGCTAAAATTAATTCTTGCAGATATGTTATAGCAATGGTGTGATTGTTCCAAACCACGGCTCTTTAGTTGGCCCGTATTGTACTCCCAAGTTATAATTTTTACACAAATGTCTCAACATTGTTTAGGACCTTCATGGGAGACTTTACTGTTATCTTTAATGAAAAAGTATTTGAAGTCGTAGTTATCCTCAGTTTGTTATAATTCGGTTTATCTAAAAGCTACTAATGTTCGAAACTCGCCAGAAATCTCCACTTATGTGGTTTCAGCGTTAATTACTATTTAGTAGTTCACATCATTTTTTTAAAACGGATGTCTTTAAAGCTACCCACTTACTGCTTACTAGATCGTCTAATATAATATATAACGGCATACATATACATGGTTAGACACTGGTTTTTGGTTTATCGAATAACATTCTGCCATTAGCTAGACCTAACACCTTTTGGTCTGTTGAGTAGTACCTTAATTTTGAATCGTGATGTTACTCGAAAAATAATCTAAACAAACTCTAGAAAGTTAATAACTATAGAAGCTTTTTCTTTATCCCGTCTTCTTACCATCAGTAGCCTGTCCTGTACTACTTTGTCAGATCTAAATTTTAAGTATCGTTCTGAAGTGTTATCAGTATTCCAATTACTTACTTATTTGGTAAGTGACTACTGACGTATTATCCGTTGTTTTACGGAGAGATATACAGTTTTCCATCTGTTTGTTTTTGTTTCCTTCCATGAGTCATATCTTTTTGACTGTCATTGTGCTGCGTTACAGCTTAACTCCCCTTAATCAATGATTTTCAGTAAAAACTCGAAAAGAATGTCAAATGAACTACGCACTTTTTGTAGGATGCTTTGCGTGTAAAAAAACATGGTTTTACATTAAAAAGCCCGTTTTTAACAAGGATAATCATTATTTTTATAATAGACTCCTCCAAACTGCTCTTCCGGAATCGATGACAGGCTCTTGCCACCTAATCCAGAGATATGTAAATCTCTGTCGGAGTTGCGCACTTCGCAACCTCTCTTACTGGAACGCTATCTCAGTATTGGTAAGCTACCATTTCGTTATTCAAGGTGATATTTCAAGCTTTGCGGGCAGTCAGTGAAAATAAAGTGGCGGTTCTATTGTTAGCGGGTGGTCAAGGGACACGACTTGGTGTTTCCTATCCCAAAGGGTTGTACAAGCCGAATTTACCATCAGGTCGTTCATTATATCAACTTCAAGCCGAGCGTCTTCACCGTGTTTCTCATATGTGTAAAGAAAAGTTTGGTAAAACTCCTTCGATAACTTGGTGAGTAACAAATTTTGCTAAACTTAACGGTTATCTGTTGTTCAAACATATATCTAGATGTATTGCAATAAATTTTTTTTATTGGGAAACCCAGTATTAACACTTCAATCTGATTGAAATGATTGTGGGCTGAGAGAATCTGGTCTCCCTTTCAAAATCCTCTCATGGTCGCACATTTTCAGCGTCCTCTAGGGAAGACCTACTACCTTCACATGGTGGTAGTGCTTCTATAATAGTGAGAGTGAGGCTGGACATCTGGGACCCAGACTGGGTCAATAGATACCGAGGGTTCACCTAGAGCAGTTCATAACCTCGCTTCGAAACCACTAGTGCGCGTTTGTCAAAGAATCCTAAAGGTACAAGGAGGGTACAAACGTCCTTTGGCTGAGGTTATCGGGGATTTGGACTTCCTGACATTGATCTACTGCTTCGCTGATTACACATCTAAGTCGAATGGTGATCTAAAAAAAACTAAGTGCTCTATTTTTGGCACCCAAAGAACACTACTGTCCTCACACGTGTAATCGTTACCAATAAGAAAAGTAAAATAACGAACCACTCAGCTGATGTACTAGGCCCCAGAAATAATAAAAATCTATGTTCTACTTGATTTCTTCATTATAAGCCTTAAATGTGTCATTTCGCAACCAGCTATCGATGAAATGGATCTGTACAAGACTACTTTCTTTGATGCATCTATCTGGATTCTGACCATGCTCTGGCGTGCATCCAACTCACTTTTCATTCTGGTGGTTAACAGATTTATTGTCTTAAACTACTTGATATAGTTTAGCTACACTCTCAGTTCTAATTAAATATCAAATGAGTCTGGGTTGGAGGATGGATTGACTCACTGGAAAGTATAGATAAGCAATGACTTTATTTAGGAGGTTCGTATAGTTCTGCAAAACATCCCATTTATGAACATTATTTTCTAGACTCCATACGATTTTGTTCCGGCAGGTCCTAAATATAGTGATACTTGTAAGTCGCTTTCGCATTATCTCACAATACCATGGAACCTGGTAATCAAGTCGCTCTTGCGAGTCAGAAACAGGAGCTGCATTTGGCAACTATCAAAAGTTGTCTGAAGTCGTTTAAGCTACTGCTGGCGAGAAGTCTCACATCAATAAAACGATTCATGAAGATGATCTCATCCCACTTAACAACATTCAAAGACAGACCAAACTTTAATCCAAGCATTTTAAGGGACAACTCGACTGTTCTGTCGCTGTAACGTCATCCGTATCATTTCCCTATGCTCCTTGGACAGTGTCCATTGATCTATCTAATGAAGTGATGATCTATGGGGAAATGCAACTTCTGTGAGTGTCATACTTCGCCAGGTTCAAATGACCTATCTCTATCCTTTTTAAAGGGTGAATGCAGATTTGTAATCAAAGATTTGGTTGGATTATAAATGATTTGTCATACAAAGTGTTCCATCGTACTAAAATTAAACGATTGTCCTAACCATCTTGAGGTTTCTATGTAAAGCAATTGATAATGATCGTGTCATAAATCAGATACCAGTTTCATCCTAAATATTTAATTTAATCATACTTTGTGAAGTGCACAAGACTTGTGACTGATTTGTAGATTTTTGTCCGGCTTGTATATGAATTGATCAAGTCTTCACTTCTGATCAGGAGAATATATATCAATGCAAAGCGGTTGGACACAATCAGCAGTAAACAACGGACATACTTTGTACTCGTCACTAAGGCATGTTTGGAAGCTTAGGTGGAAGTGATGCTTTACATGTAATTCGAACCCGCGTCAAATAAAGTCACAGTTAGGTACAATACTACTAGGCTGTTCAGTTTGCGATCGATCTTCTGTAGGACTGCAACCTTTACACCGACTGATCACTGTTTAACTTACCTTCTCTATTCTTTTGCTCTGATCAAATTGGAATTTCAACCACTTAGCATCAAGAGATATTGCACATAATGTCAAATCACCTGGACTTGTAATGACATTACAACCTGTTCATTAAAATTCGCTCATTACTAAGGAATAGATGCTCATGGTTTTAACCGCTATATATATTACAAACTTACAACTAGATTTTTGTTGTTATTTAGGTATATCATGACTTCTGAGCACACAAAAGAAACAACTGTACAGTTCTTTAAATCATCTAATTATTTTGGACATAATTGTGACAACATTGTATTTTTTGAACAATACACTCTTCCAGCCTTTTCTCTAGATGGAAGAATCCTGTTGCAAACTAAGTCTAAACTAACATCAGCTCCAGGTAAGATTCCAATCACTTTTCATGTTGACTGAAACGACATAACTAGTTTTCCAAAGATAAAAAAACTAAATTTCTGCGTTTCGTCGTGCAATGGTACTTACATTGGGCAGTGTTGAATTTCAACCATAGTGACCTAAGTTAGACTTTCATCATATGTTTCTGCCTGCTTATACTATTTGTTGAGTAATTATGATGAGCCCTTCACTTTGTTTAATCTGGGTTTACTGTCTAGATAAGTTTGTAAGCATATAAAATATTTGTCACTTTAGGGAATGTAGCCATATAATTTATTCGACCAGTTTCTTCTTTTCACCACTAAACTATTGGCGATCAATTCATTGTTTAGATTCTGTGTTGTATACTTAAAGATTTATCATATCGTTTACACTCCTGTTATATTCAGTATCTTTATACTTGAAAAAAACTGCTCAGTACAATTTCTGAAATGAAATTATCAATTAAGTAAGTGAGTAAGGTTACTTGAGTAAATAATAATCACTGATAATATAAAAAATTTACAATTTCTTTCTAGCTAGAATAATGATGGTATGCAATTAGTGAGTTCATTAAATGTTATCATGATCAACATGTTTAAATGTATTCATGAATGCTAATTATTCAGTGGTTTGAAATCAAACTCTAACAAACCTTAATATATAAGTAGAAATCGATACTATTAATTATTAACATTGTTATTCTACTAGCCAAAACTGTAGACCTCGGTTAATTAAAATATCACCAATGACATATATATATATATATATATATATATATATATATATATATATATATATATATATATTTGTACATGCATTCGTTACTACTTTTATTCCCGACCGTTGCTGCTACCTTGGCGTGGTGGTCGGGCTTGTCTATCATGACGAATCAATCAGGCTATACTGGTTAGAACAATCGTTCCTCAGGGTCATACCATGTCGGGCAGGTCGGTTGAAGAACGGTCAGACTAAAAGCAACAAACTCAAGGTCCAAGGACGAGGTCGTACTACTGACTACAGAGGTGTGGCGGCAGGGAAGTGTCTCCCTCAGATAACCATCATGACAGCGATTCTGCCTTCTCACAAGGGAAGGGTGGAGTTATAAAAGGTCAACCCTAAAGACGCACACCTCGCCTTATCCCACGGATATCCGTCTCCGGCGGTAAGGTTTCAACAAGTATGCAGCTAACACAAATCACCCACAAAATGGTCGTGTGTTACCGGCCTCAAGAAGTTCTCCCTTTGGCACTGCGGTCACTCTCTCAGGTCACTAAGATCAACTTTAACGCATTTTCCTTTCTAGGTACCGCTAGAAGAACCCTTCCATAGTGTGGACAATCGGGAAATGATAACCGCCTTCATACCTCTAACAACACTGAAGACCATTTTGTAGCTGACTAACTACTGCTTTCCTTAAATTAAGAAAATCAGTATTTTTACTCAATACGAAAGCGTTCGGATTATTTTTATTGTGTGCTTCCACCTGTACCATCTGACAAATACAACGGAAGTGTATATATTTATTTACACATTTATACTAGTAATAAATATACCTATCCGGCTTTTTTTAACTAGATGGAAACGGTGGTTTGTACAGGGCTCTTAAAGAGCGCGGTATTCTCGATGATATGAAATTAAGAGGAATCGAATATGTCCAAATTTATTGTGTTGATAATATTCTGGTAAAGGTACCTGATCTTCACTTTATCGGATACTGCATTGAAAATAATGCAGATTGTGCTGCAGAAGTTGTTCAGAAGCTAGACCCAGAAGAACCGCTTGGAGTTGTTGGAGTAGTAGATGGTCAGTATCAGGTAATCTGTTCTGTTATCCAGCTGATAGTATTGTTTCTGTTTCTTATAATAATATCAGGTTCCGTAAACATAATTTTGAAAAATAGATTATTGTCTGTCGGGTTGATTGTTCACCATTAGATCGATTCACGTTTCTTCTACCTCATGTATTAAGCTTATTTAAGCACTTCGATGATTTAATGGGATTTTTCGATTTCGGGGTATGATTTGAGTTCTCTGTTTTTACAAAGACTCTAAAACAACCTTAACTTTGTCCCATTAGAATGGCTTTAGCCACTCATTGTCCCAGTTTTCACGAACATATCCGACGAATAAGTAGAGTAATCCATTTATTGAAGCTTTCTTGCTTTGGAAAGTGACTGAATGATTTATTTGTAAGTTTTCTCGTCAATTATTTCTCTACTTTAAATCTGTATTTCTGTTCGATCAACGAAAATTTGCTCTATTAATGAGTTCTTAGTTTTATGAAGTGGAGAAAATTAAACCATTGTAATTCGTCCTCATTTGACGTGGTAAACTTTGTCTCATACACGTTGTCCTTTAGAGTCTCAGTCTTTGAGAATTTCAATTCAAACCTTATACATACGTGGCGTTTCTGCATTCTAATCTAATTAAAAAGTGAAAATTCATCAACCGATCTACTGAATATTGCTGTATTTGTATCTAATTATTCTTCCGTTCATGGCAGTATACCAGTTAAATCGAAAACTTTATCCTAACCTTAACACGTTGAACCTAAGATTTAAAGGTAGTGATTTTCAAAAGAGAAGTGTTATATTATATCACTTTAGTCTTCATCTTCATGATTTTCATGCTTGATTTTCACTACAAGTGTTATGTTTTCACAAAACTTTATTGGTTTTAACTTCATATTAATCTTAGGTCGTAGAATATACTGAGATATCTCCCGTTACAGCATCCTTACGTGTAAGTCAATATGACTCTCATAATAATGCACACAATTCAAACAATGGTGAAACAAGTCGTTTAGTTTATAGTCATGGAAATATTTGTGTACATTTCACAACGAGATCATTTTTGGAACGTGTTTGTCAGGATGATATACAAATGAAAATGCGTTATCATCGAGCTCAAAAGAAAGTTAATTGTATAGATTTGCAAACAGGAGAATTGATTGTCCCTCAAAAACCGAATGCAATCAAATTTGAAAAATTCGCATTCGATGTTTTTCCATTTGCTCAGTAAGTCATTGCTTTTGCTTATATTATTTTCTTTTCTAATTGTACTGCATCTTTTTGTTAGTTAATATTGTCATTTATTTCAGTCTTAAACTGATTGTGAATCGTCTGAGGAAATTATTTGTTCCTTATTTGTAAGGGTTTGTATCTCGTTGTTCCTGATTTTAAGAGCTACGGCTTATGAGTCCTAGACTTACGCTATTTATTTTATTGTCGAGACCATTTTACGTTTGACTTACAGGTTCTACAAGTGCTCATATCGATTGTAAAAGTTGCCTCAGTGATATATCATACAATTTAGTATTTAATCAGTTAGGCCAATAATTACAAATAATTTGTGGTATGAATGAAGTGCCATTCATCGAATAATACCACTGATCACATTGACTGGATGTTACTAGGACATCTGTGCGTGGAGGGGGGTGAGTCGTAGATTCCTCATTTTACGGATATGTGATCAAATGGCACAACCAACTTTGGGCTCTCTCTCTAGACTAGGTCCTATTAACATAGTTTATTTCATGCAATTGGTTCCCTTTATGAATTTAAATAAAGCAAGAACAAATATAATATGAATTCATACTATTCTGCACCAATATTTGTTCTTGCTTTATTTAACATAGTTTAATCTGCTTAGGTTAACTGAGAAAGAATTTAGTCTTTTTTTCGATTGTTCTATCTGGTCGTCGCCAATTTTTATGTCGGAATCGCTTATCGCTTATACTTGTAAAACGAAAAACCACTGCAATTCCCCACGAGGTGAAGTAAGAACACAAAAACTGGTAGAACTGAAGATTTATTGAACTCAAAACACGACAACGACCATAGTCGAAAATACACTCGATAATATATATTGATTGTAAACCCATTTTGGTTATTAATTAGGATGAAATCACATGTTTAAAAAATATCCAGAGTTATAACAAACTACATGCTACATGCATAGTTCATGTTAATTTAATACAAGAATATCATATCTTCAACAAACAAATTAATGCTATACGGAATAAAATATCACACTGAGACAAGACAAAACAAATACTACACTAAGTAATCAGCACATTGAATGAAACAGAAGTAATTTTGGACAAAAATCACAACGTATAAAAGAATGTAATTTTACCTTTTCATCCCTTTATATCAATAAAAATCAAGCCTGTTAGAAAACTCAGATAATCTTTTCCTAGCTGTCTCCCGTCTTTTTCCAGAATACTTGTGTTATTCCTGCTTATTTTTATGTTACTATTTCCTTTTTTATATCAGTATATTCCTTTTCATCATACCTGGGCGGAGCGTTGGTTCTAAATCCTATTTTATTGAGGTTTTTCCTGTTATGAGAAACCTTTCATGATGTTTTAATGATTATTAACTCACACGTGGTTGTTAAACAAACTTAATATTTAAGTTGAACATTTTTATTGTATAAACTAAAGCTACTTAGTTCTCATTTTCATCCTATTTTTCTGTTCTCCTCAAGTCGATTTTTTATATGGGAAGTTCCTAGAGATGAACAATTTTCTCCGCTTAAGAATGGACCAGGTGCAATTAAGGATTGTCCTAAAACAGCTCGACTTGATTTACTTAATTATCATACTCGCTTAGCGGAAAACGCTGGTGCAATACTAGTAAATCATAGTTCTACGTCTAATGGGAACGGACACGTAGACAATGTTCATGACAAGCCCTTAATTGAAATTTCACCTTTGATTACTTACAATGGTGAAGTAAGTTTTATTTACTTTTCGTTTAATAAATTTCTTATGTAAACTTACTGTCAACAACTAGGAATTATATTTGATAATCGTAAAATTCGCCTACAATTTTAAACATCAATCATTAGAGTCGAAAACTCAGCCCTGGATTGGTGGTTAAAGCACTTCAACATTCAACCACTGAGTCACAAGTTCTAAACCTACTCCATATCAGTATCTTTCAAAAGCTTTCACACAAATATTTACTTAACCATTGAATTACAATATCACTAATTAAGAGTCACTTCAATGTTTTAAAGTTAGATATCAACACCGTTGGATACTGACCCAATGGTCTATAAGTTAAGTGCTCAGGTGCAAGACCAAAAGTCCTGGGTTGGAGTCTCGTGTGCGGGACCGTGAATGCGTGCTGCCGAGTCGTCCCATACTTATACGAAACGGCCATCAAGTGCTTCTACCTTTCCAATAGTGGTCTAACGTTGATTGGTTCATGATCTCACTGAGACAACGAACAATTTGAATTACGGGTTAATTAGCATTAACACAATAAGTTATTTAGTTAAAAAATAACCATAAATTCAATGTGTTGTGCTGAAGTGTTTTCCTACCACAGGCTATTCTATATTATTAGCTGATTATCTTATTAATTAAATTAATAAATGATACAAGTGGTAGAGTTCTCTGTTTTAACCTTTTAAATTTAATTCCTTAATTGTTGTAATCAGCCGACCAATAAAGTCCTTCTCTAAGCCTATCATCCTGACACCCATACAAATTGTTTTCTAAACTCCTCATTACTTATGATAATCTAAACAATTTTTTTCCTATATTACATTGTTTTACTTGCATTGATTCAATTTCTATTGACTTTTTGGCGGAATATGATTTTCGTCTACTTAAGTTATTGATTATACATTTGACCTACATTTTGTATCTATATGATATAATTAAAAATAAGGTTGGAATAACTGGTAGATCGATTGTATACTAGACTATTGGCAGTGATCGTATTTCGATATGCGACTAGACTGAATAGGTTTTTCTACTTTCTAATGTTATATCCACACTTGTAATGTTTTGACTAGTGGCGCTAAATGATCCTGGTTCATATTTTAGACTGAGTAAATTTGGAAACACATCCTCGGGGATAATTATCAACTAACACAGTGTCCGAAAATTCCTACAGATTATCTGGATAGTGTAATAACAAGAAGATTATCAGAACTATGTGATATATTAGCACAATACATTTCGAACAATCTGATCACACATACTTGTTATGAACATTTATATTTAAAAATAAAAGGCCAATTAGACAAATGGGGGTAAGAGGAAACAAAGATAATCAGTAAAATAATATGAGAAACAATTTGAAAACTCATCATGCTGGATAATAAGCTAAACAATACCGGGGTAGGCTTAAGCTGAGAAGAACGACCATCTTCCTTTCTTAGATATACGTATATGTAGACAAGAAGATGGTTCAATCAAACTATCTATTTTTAAAAAGACAACTTGGACAGGCCAATACCTTAGTTGTCATAATTACTATCCAGCGCAATACAAACGGGGTTTGATAAGGGGGCCCATTTAACAGGATTAATGGTATTGGCACTAATGATGCTAGGTTGTTGAATAAAACACTAATGGAAAATGGTTATCCCTTAAAATTCATAAATCGATGGAAAGATCGTGGTATAGTGAGACCTACTATAGCCTTGGCACAAAAAAGCCTATCTACATCGTCTTACCGTTTAGAGGTGAGTCAAATAGCAGAAATGGAAAATAATTCTCTAATGTCACTCAACTCAGTCTTTAGTTGATTTGCTTCGATCTTTATTGATAACTGGAAAATCTGATGACCAGTATGTATTTGAGCTATGGGTTTAATAGGAAATATTATACCAACTTAAACAACTTTTTATCTGGTTTATAGTATCTGTGAGGTAATTTTCACTACACATACTTATCGAATCTCCTGTCCTGTATAAAATGAGTGTGGAGAGCTACAGAAGTTTTTCAACTAGGTGCTATTTTGGCGCAATATCTTCCCAGTGACACTATTGTCAAAGTATGAACTTGAGGCTACTCAGTGGAATCTGTAATGAAAGATGAAGTAGTCAACCTGAAATTTGATTGTTTCTTGCTAAATCTTGTTTCCGTTTTATCGGTTGTGTAATTTACCTTCATTTACAAACATCATTTTTCTTTTGGCGATAATATCCGTTTCTTTTTACTCTAGTAGAAATAAACGCTGCTGGCTAGTCTCAAAAATCACGTAAATTTTAGAATACAAATCACTTTTATGACTTCATCTCATTTCGTAGTCCCGAGTAAGCTCATGAGCCCCCTGAATGCCCTGGTACGGCTGAGAGTGGGGAGAGTCCGCTCTCCCTCTCGAAACGCTCTCACACGGCCACGCGTATACAGCCTCTGCCAGGGAAGTCCTACTCATTGCCTTCTCGTGGCGGGGGTGTTGTTTACGAAAATGAGAGGACGAAAAGCGAATGTCCGGCGCTTTAACCGGATTCCAAACCAGTGGTGCACATGGGCTCCAGTATCCTGCGGGAACAAATGGCGTATGAACCAATCGTTGGTCACCGGCTACCATGGGATTGCATCTCCTTACGATGCTCCACTGCCTTGTGGGTTGGACCTTTAGGTCAAAGGCTCGGGGAGTGGCCCCCTAAGATAACCACCTGCTTCGGTTTGGGCACCCGGGCAGTATCACAGCCCACACACAAATGATGAACTCTTTATGTCTATGGGAATTATTTTTCTCGCTTCGGAAAACAATCAATTGATTCAAATTATTATCATTACAATTATTGTCATTATTAATACTATTATTATTATTACTATTATTGTCATTATTATTATTACTATTATTATTTTCCACATTATTCACCCTCTTTTATACTTATACAGCGGCTCGTCTTTGGTGGAAATTCGACTGTATCTAAACGTTCTCGAGTCACTGTCCGGTTGAAAATTGTGTGTTACCACCGAATATGAGTACTGAAGCAGTTTTTCTGAAACCACGTGCACCTTTCAAACTGGCTACCTTCAACGTTTGAACACTTATGTAGGTTGGACAACAGATAGGGCTGGCTATGTCTTTAGGGAGGCTTAATATCGACGTCTGTTGTCTATCCGAGACCCGTATTCAAGACTCTGGTGAAGTACTACAACTTCGATCTCCATCTGTCGCTTCGAAAAGCTTGTTTTACGTGCGCTTATACGGCGACCCTGTGGCATCTTCGTCTGATCTTGCTGGCGTTAGTATCGCACTAAGCGCCAGAGCTGAGGCAGCTCTAATCGATTGGATCCCCATTTACAGTCGATTATAAGCTGTTAGATTAGAAAGTTCCATCAAAGTGAGAAGAAATCGGCGTGAGAAACGATTCCTCCTCGTCATCTCCGCCTATGCCCCGACAGATTGCAGCCCGGATGCAATCAAGGATGAGTTTTACCACCAGTTATCTGTTCTTCTCCAGAAAGTACGTTCGACAGATATTGTAGTACTAGCCGGAGACTTGAATGCTCAGGTCGGGCGTCTAGGCACAGAAGAGAGTCGTTTAGGTGGCCGATGGGGACTCGTTGGTCGCAGGTCAGATAACGGGGACCGTCTACTGCAACTTTGCACAGACCACAACCTGTTTCTGGCTAGCACTAACTTTCGGCACAGTCATCGCCGATGTGCCACCTGGCGTCCTCCCTCTGCATCTCAAGCTTGGACTCAGATTGATCACATCGCGATCAGCTACCGCTGGCGTGGTTGTGTACAAGACTGCCGCTCCTTTTGGAGTACCTATCTGGACTCTGACCATGCCTTGGTCTGCGCCAATCTTGCCTTACTTTTCAGTGGCCAACGGAGTGACCACCACCAAAAGATTGATGTTAGCAAGCTGGTTGCAACTTCTGTTGCAAGTAAGTATCGAACCGAGCTAGCCTCTAGGCTAGCTACCACTCCACCGAAAAGTATAGATGAGCATTGGTTGCAATTGCATGACGCCATGAAAATGGCGAGAACAGTCAGTTGTGGGTTTGCGAAACGTCCCGCTTTTAAGCACTGGGTTTCTTCTGGTTCCTTACAACTCATTGAAGCCCGTCGGTCTACTCCGGGTGACCGTGAGTTTGACCATAAACAAAGGATGCTACGTACTGAAATTGGGCAAAGCTTGCGTAAGGACCGAGAAGCCTGGTGGTCGAAGCGTGCTAATGAGCTGGAAGCAGCAGCTGCATCTGGTAACTACCGGAAGCTCTTCCAGCTCATCCGAGCCACTGGCAGCAAGAAGTTTAGTGTGAGTGAAACAATCTGCGAGGATGATGGGATGCCAATCACTAACATCCATCGACGTCTTGGACGGTGGGCAGAATTTTTCGAAGGGCAGTTCAACTGGCCTGCTGCTCCGGCAACATCGGTCAGACTGTCCTGCCCTCCATGACCGGTGACGACTGATCCACCAAATGAGGAGGAAGTTCGCAAGGAACTCCAACTCTTGAAGCGTTACAAATCACCTGGCCCAGATGACTTAACTCCGGCTCTTTTTAAAGATGTTGGTGACTTTTTGACTAAGGAATTGACGACGTTGTTTACAAAGGTTTGGGAACTAGAGAGTGTACCAACGTCATGGAATGAGTCGATAGTTGTCCCTGTCTTTAAAAAGGGTTCACGTCGTTCCTGTAACAACTATCGGGGGATAAGTCTACTTCCGATTGCGTCCAAGCTATTGGCTTCCGTCATTCTTCGTAGGTTGTTCAAAACCCGAGAAAGATTGACTCGCGAGGAGCAGGCTGGGTTTCGTTCTGGTCGAGGATGTATTGATCATATCTTCACCCTCCGCCAAATGTTAGAACACCGCCATACTTATCAAAGGCCAACAATCGTAGTGTTTCTTGACATCAGGGCTGCCTTCGATTCGTTGGACAGGACTGTTCTCTGGGATTGTCTATTGAAGAAGGGTGTGCCTGAGAAGTTTACTAACATCCTAAAAGCCCTATATACAAACACCTCAGGCAGAGTGAGGGCATACAACCACCTCTCTCCGTTGTTCCATTCGAGCAGTGGGGTTAGGCAGGGTTGCCCAATCTCACCATTCCTCTTCAACTTTGCCATCGATGACATTCTGGAAACAGCTCTGATGAATGTAAGTAATGGTGGTGTGGATCTGTTGCCTGGAGAAAGACTTCTTGACCTTGAGTATGCGGATGATATTGTCTTACTGTGCGATAATGCCCAAGGCATGCAATCCGCATTTAATCAGTTGGCAATCAGTGTCCGTAGGTATGGTATGTGCTTTGCACCTTCGAAGTGCAAAGTACTTCTACAAGACTGGCAGGATTCCAATCCTGTACTCACCCTGGACGGTGAACAGATAGACGTAGTCGAGAAGTTCGTGTATCTGGGTAGCTGCATAAGTGCTGGTGGGGGTGTGAGTGATGAGATCAATGGAAGTATAGTGAAAGCCAGAGCGGCTTATGCCAATCTGGGCCACCTTTGGCGCCTTCGTGATGTTAGTCTGGCTGTAAAAGGTCGGATCTACAACGCGTCGGTGAGAGCAGTTCTGCTCTATGCTTGTGAAACCTGGTCTCTCCGAGTTGAGGACGTTAGACGGCTCTCTGTGTTCGATCATCGTTGTCTCCGAAGGATTGCTGACATTCAGTGGCAACACCATGTCAGTAATGCAGAGGTTCGGCATCGTGTGTTCAGGCACAGAGATGATAATTCAATTGGTGTTACCATCTTGAAACACCGACTTCGGTGGCTTGGACATGTTCTCCGAATGTCGTCCCAGAGAATTCCACGTCGTGCATTATTTGCCGACTCTGGGACTGGTTGGAAGAAGCGGAGAGGTGGTCAGTGCATGACATGGTGTCGTGGCATGAAAGAAAGCTGCAAAAGGCTGGCTTCAGTCGGTCCTTCACGACTCCCTGGTTGGGGTCTGAGAGATGGTGCTACACAGTGGCTAGAGACGTTATCAGATATGGCTCAGAATAGAAGCCAGTGGCGATCCTGCTGTAACCTTTTACTTTCTTCATAAAAAGTGGTAGTGTCTCCCTTACCTGAAAGATTTCTTCTGATTGTACCTTTTCGTTCCCTCGTTACTACCACACTACCTTTACACCAATCTCTTCGTTATTGTTCTCTTTTTCTTTTGCGTTCCTTAGTTGTTTTTTTTACTTCTCTTCGAATTTTCATTGTTTTGTGTGGCGCATATATATTGGCGCTCTTTTGTACCAATATTCATGTGTTCAAATAAATAATAATAAATAGTAAGCTCATGAATCTTAAGTATCGTAAACCGCAGAGTAATCACATCACTATTTTGCTTATTGAATACTGACTTTCCATCATCAGTATATCACATTCTCATAGGTCTTACGGACTCTTAGTTTTATACAAGACCTAGTCTTTGAATAGTAGCTCTAAAAACCTCATAGGATCCGGTTTACGATTTGATGTACATTCGCTGAAACTTTCACAGATAACCAGGATGTAACTTCCCGATATTATATACTGCATACACCTACAATTGAAAACTGTAAAATATATTTAAATAAAGTATATTTTTGTGAATTATTGCTGACTGAACATGTTCCTTGTCATATCATTATAGCTAGAGAACATAACTCAGTTAACCTATTTTCCCTAAACTCTTCCTTTTAGAACTTAACATGTCTAAAAGGTGTTGAAATTCATGGTCTCAATCGTTTGGAACAAGACATAGGAACTGGTAAACCAATTTTATTTTCTTGTGAAATGAATGGTGACATCTAGTCAAGATGTGTATAAATTTTTTCTTTTAACACTGATATACACAATAACCATACATACAAATGGTCTTCCCTACTTAATATATTTAACCACGTTCATGCTGTGATTTTTCTATGAGTTGTTTTGTTTCATATATTTTAGACATTCCATATTACAAACTGTTTTTTTTTTGTAACTGTTCGCTTATATGTTAATGTTTGAAACTATCTGTTCTAATGTGATTTTTTTTTTAAAAAGAAAATTCAATTCATCAAATGTTGTGTACAATCAGTGTGAAATTCATTCTTTTCTAATTCTATATGTTCATTTTACTTTTTAAATGTGCTCAGTAAATATGATTGGCTTTGTTAGCAATAATCTATGATACTAAATTATACTGTTGCTATCCTCTCTTTTATTTATCAATTTGTTTTGTAACTTTTATTCTTAAAAAAAATAAAATAAATACACTTGGTATTGTTTGGCTTGTATCATCCCATTGAGTTTTTTTTAAGACTGCAATTGACCAGTCTGTTATTGGCATATGTGCATGCTGTGCGTATGCCTCGATATTGCCTTAATTCACAAGCTTTTTGTAATCAATGATGGACCCAGTAGCTGAGTGGATAACGCGATGGCGTTTGAAGCGAATGGTACTGGGTTCGAGTCCTAGAGTGAACATCAACTCTGAGACGCATGTGCATCCAGCTGACGAGTCCCAAATAGGACGAAACGCCCGTCCCGGATTCCTCTGCTAGCCACTGTCCATCGTTGCTTATAAAATAAACAATTAAAAGTTTATTTTTAATCTTTGGTTGATTTTTTTTTCAAAAAAAGAGAAAGTTCATTTGTCTTTGTTCATGTTTTGACTTTTGTTCTTGTTGATTATCACATGATAAAATCACCAATCAGTATACTACCGACTTATATGACCTTGCTTGTTTGTTTTTTTAATGCTAAACGATGACATGTTAACTAGTACTAACAGTTATACGTCAATTCTGAATCCTTATTGGTTCACAAAGTAGCAACATCTTGACCTAAACTTACATGTTGAGTCTAGAACACAATGTCATTTTCCACTGTATGAATAATATATTTCAGACATACGTAGTTTATATACAAGGAAATCAGACTGCATCATACTATATAATTAAAAATAACAATTATACAATATTCAAAAACGAAGAATATTTGAGCGAACAATTGTTTTCAATAACTTCATCATCAGGCTCTACACTTATAAGTCCATAATTATAATATTTTACAATATTATACAATATCAAGCCAAAAGTGGCTGTGGATGTAACAGTTCACTATTAATAACTCTGATTTACTTACTGAAATATATATTTAAAAAAAATAACCAATAATAATTCATTTGCAATATATAACTATACTCCGGTCGCGAAGAGGAAATTGCTCCATACACTCAGGGAGTTGCTCTAATACCGTTCAAACAAGCACTTAACGCACTTATAGGATGGGAATCTCACGGATCCAGAATCACCAAGGTTGTGAAGAGATAAAGGAAAGTGAGTATAATAAAAACAAAGAAGAGTAGAGAGTAATGTGAGCGAATGATAAAAATGATGATAGTAATGGATAAATTCCCGACCGTTGTTGCTACCTTGACGTGGTGGTCGGGCTTGCCTATCGTGATGAAGCAACCGAGCTATACTGGCTGGAACAACCGTTCCTCAAGGTCCTACCATGTCAGACAGGTCGGTTGAAGAGCGGTAAGGCTAAAAGCAACAAACCCAAGGTCCGAAGGCGAAGTCGTACTGCTGACTGTACAGAGGTGTGACAGCAGTAAGGTGTTTCCTTCAAACAACCAGCATGACAGAGATGCTGCCTTCCCAAAAGGAGGAGTGGGGTTAGAAAAGGTCGACCCTAAAAATGCACACCTCGCCTTATCCCACGGATATCCGTCTCCGGCGGTAAGGTCTCAATAAGTACGGAGCTAACACAAAAATTACCCATAACAAGGTCGTGTGTGACCGACCTCAAGCAGTTGTCCCTTGGGCACTGCGGTCACGCTCTCAGGTCACTAAGACCACCTTTAATCCAATTTCCTTTTCAGGTACCTCCAGAAGAACCCTTCCACGGTGTGGGCAACCGGGAAGTGATAACCACCCTCATACCTCTAACAACACTCAATACCACTGTTATAACTATAGATTAGAATATAAATATTTCTTTTGAGCTCATAAAAAAATTCTTAAATAATTCCGATAAACAAAAGACAAATAATGTTTTCTATATATGACTAATTTACTTACATAAATTGGTTAAAGTTCACCTTTACTAATATTAATTGTGATAAAACAATTTAGGGCAAATGTTAGTGTGATAGTTTTTTAAATTTCCTCTCTCGGCTTCCACCTCAAGTGTCACCATAGCCAACGATTCTTGTGCGCAAAACACTGTCCCAGGTCTACTGAAACCTCGCTCCAAACTACACATTGGAGCCTTCAACGTACGAACCCTATGTCAAATCGGTCAGCAGGCTTCCTTGGCTAAAACCCTAGAGTCTCTTACTATTGACGTGTGCTGTGTCTCCGAAACACGCATACAGGATTCCAGTGTGGTTATTCACTTGACCTCACCTCGGCAAAACGGAGAGCCAACGAGATACACCCTTCGTGTATCTGGTGACCCGATGGCAAGTTCTCGTGGACTGGCAGGTGTAGGCATAGCACTAAGCATGAGAGCCGAACAAGCACTGCTAGAGTGGATCCCCGTCAACAGTCGTTTATGTGCTGTTCGGCTGAACGGCTACGTAAGAACTCGGAAGGATAGGGACACACGTCGTTGCCTTTTCGTCGTTTCTGCCTACGCTCCCACTGACTGCAGCTCAGATGAAGTGAAAGATGAATTTTACAGAAAGCTGTCCGAACTTCTTCAGAAAGCTAAACGCTCAGACATAGTACTCGTAGCAGGTGATTTTAATGCTCAGATAGGCAGTTTAAACCAAACAGAAAGGCATTTAGGTGGATATTTTAGTATTCCGACACAACGAACAGATAATGGTGATCGTCTGCTGCAGCTATGCTCAGACAATTGTTTATTTTTAGCAAATACAAATTTTAAGCATAAGGAGAGACATAGTCTAACATGGCGACCCCCTACACCAAACCAACGATGGACTCAAATAGACCATATTGCCATCAGTCATCGTTGGAGAGGGTCGGTAGAAGATTGTCGCTCATTCTGGAGTACCTGCTTGGACTCCAACCATGCCCTAATACGGGCACGCATCTGCTTGCGCCTCACTGGACGCAAAAAAGCCATATTAGAAAGACCCGTTAGAACTGAGTTGAATAACAAGAAAACCAAAAGTAGATTCCAGGAACAACTGAGGTCACACTTAGGTAGTTGTGAAGACGAGGCTGACTCAGATGTTGCTTGGAAGGGCATACAATCAACTGTGGAAACAGCAGTGACATCTATTAGTGACTTAAACCACAGAGTTGCAAGGAACCAGTGGATTTCTTCAAGGTCTGTCACACTGATGGATTCTCGCAAACTCGTCCCATCAGGTTCTGAACATGATGAAGAGCGACAACAAATCAGATCTAGGTTAAGCAAAAGTCTAAGAAACGACCGTGAGCAGTGGTGGGTAACGAAAGCAAAAGAGATGGAAAAGGCGGCGATTATAGGGAACACAAGACAGCTTTACAGACTAATAAAAGAAACTGGAATTAATAAGTCAAGTGTAAGTGAGATTATTTCGGAAAAAGATGATACTCTCATCTGCTCCTAGTCCAGACGTTTAGAACGATGGGTGGAACATTTTAGAGAACAGTTCAGCTGGCCTTCAGCTTCTCTACAACTACCCTCCATTCCCAGACAGTGTGAATGGAACATTGAAGTAGGTCCTCCAAGTCTTGCTGAAGTTCAAAAGGCTATAGTTAATCTGAAACGAGGAAGAGCAGCTGGTTCAGATGGATTGACTCCAGAAGTCTTTAAGGATGGTGGTCCAATTTTAGCCATTAGGTTGACTAATATTTTAGCTAAGATCTGGGAATTGGACTTTATCCCATCTGACTGGTCGCAATCACTTATCGTCCCAATATATAAGAAAGGGTCAAAATCATCCTGTGACAACCACAGAGGGATTAGTTTAACTAGTATAATATCTAAAATACTAGCCTCGATAATTATCAGACGCCTAACTAAGACTCGTGAACTGCAAACACGAGAGAATCAAGCTGACTTCAGACCTGGTCGTGGTTGCATCGACAACACATTCACCATTCGTCAGGTTCTAGAACATAGGCATACTTATCGGCGACCGACAATGGTGGTCTTTCTCGACTTAAAAGCAGCATTTGACTCGATAGACCGCGAGATTCTGTGGCAGTGTCTGTCATTGAAAGGCGTACCTCAGAAGTATATAAACCTTGTGAAGGCTCTTTACTCGAACACTACCAGTCGAGTCAGAGCTTATGGTGAACTGTCATCTGCTTTTGCAACCTCAAGTGGTATCCGTTAAGGCTGTCCACTTTCTCCATTTTTGTTTAACTTCATCATAGACCTACTACTGGAAATAACATTCTCGTCGACTGAATTCTCGGGTATCGATCTCCTCCCAGGAGGTCCACTTATCGACTTAGAATACGCAGATGAAATAGTCCTGTTTGGTGAAGATGCTGATAAAATGCCAAGTCTTTTCGTAGCACTAAACAACAATGCCAGAATGTTTGGGATGCGCTTCTCTCCCTCGAAATGCAAGTTGTTGCTTCAGGACTGGTCTGCGTCAACACATAAACTAAGGATAGGGAGTGAAGTAGTCGAACGCGTTGACAACTTCACTTATCCTGGAAGTCTGATTAGCCCTAATGGGTTGGTGTCTGACGAAATCTCAGCACGGATTCGAAAAGCTCGTTTGGCTTTTGCCAACTTACGTCACCTTTGGCGGAGGCGAGATATCCGTCTATCAATAAAAGGACGATTATACTGCGCTGCAGTTCGTTCTGTTTTACTTTACGGCAGCGAAACATGGCCCTTAAGAGTAGAAGACACCCGTAAGTTGCTAGTATTTGACCACAGATCCCTTAGAAATATTGCTGGCATCTGCTGGGATCACCGGGTAAATAATAGTAAGGTTAGACGCAGAGTATTAGGGAATGATGGTAAATCAGTTGATGTGGTTATTAATCTTCATCGACTGAGATGGTTGGGCCACGTATTACGTATGCCTGAACACCGATTACCACGACGTGCAATGCTAACCGGTGTAGGGGATGGTTGGAAGAAAGTTAGGGGCGGCCTGAAGTCACTAACTTCTAGTCTGAGCCATGTTGGTAGATGCAGACTACTTGGTTGGGGTCCGCGTGACTTTCGTAACCAATGGTTGGAGACTCTTGGTGACATGGCTCAGAATCGATCACAATGGCATCGGTGTATACACTCCCTGTCTTCCCTTAAACTAAGAGCTTAAAATCACTTCATATCTTTCTTTCTACGAACTAATTCTTTCTTCCTATACTATATCCTTATACGTAATCTTTCTCCTATATATTACCACCTTTGACTTAACCACTCCTATGAATCCGCTGTTCATCTTGCTGTGCTAATGAGGTATGGCAACCTGGACCGATGCACATATGTGCCTGGTCCTACGTTGTAGTTGACTGACTGACTGAAATTCAGTTAGGAAAAACCTAACAAAAAAGAATCCTTTCAGAAAAAGAAGTTACTTCCAGTTTTATGAAGAAACCTATATCAAGGTCGCCACAATTTTCTATTCTTAGCCATGTGTGATAACGTTTCAGTCGGTGTTGTCCCATGTCCAGAACATCAACTACGGAGTCTCATGACTCGCACCACGACCAGCAATTACGCAACCACACAGATACACGGGCTTCTAGAATACTTCTGTCTGCTCACCACCAAGAGTGACTGCAGG